GTTTGTCTTCTGACCAATCTTCATATAAGATGCTAACTCATGTCATTTAAAAATTCAATTATTTTTGCCATTTCATGGAGGTCATTACATGTATTTGTAAAGTCAGTTTTGAGAACTACCTCTAAGGAAAGTGAACGATGTATCTTCAAAAGCTATATTACATACACAAATTAGCTGAATTGAATACTGCTCTGTTCACTTAATGCTTTTGTAGGCATCTGTCATTTAATTTGACTTCCCTTCAATGGAAATAGATGCCTAATTTACATTCAGCTTTGAATGGCACCAACAAAGTCAGACACCTGACATATACAGATAACACTAATGAATATGGAAAGTAATTGTGGTGATGGAGATACCTTTAAGGAGTTCAGAGGGAGGACCAGGGCCTACGATAAGGAGGAATAATGAAAGTTCTCTTTAACTTTCATGCCACATACTGGGGAGTAACAAACTTAAGAAATCAGGCCCTTCTCAGAAAAAGTTCACAAATTTTTCAGGGTAGCAAGGGTGGGAGAGTTGAAAAGAAATTACTCAATTACCATGGTAGAAAAATTAGAGGTTTGTACCCTCCAAGTAATTGCGCCACCTCTGCAGCATAAAATAGGGGCAGCAAATTTATCCTTATGACCTGTTTTCTAAACCCTTTTTTCTCTGGTATCTAGGTGTGTGGCAAGTAGGCTTTTAGTTGTCTTTACTTCTTTCCACGCCTTTATAATAAACCTCCCATTTTCTAAAATGGCTTAATTACCTCTATGCTATTTAAATCTAAAATTGCCCCACAGATAAGCCAAATGCTATTTAGGATATTTAAACCAACCTGGTAAACCCACACAACAGCACATCAAAGACAACACTGCAGGGCCACTGCAGCACCCAGAAGTCTCCCTTTCACTTCTCTATACCACACCTCAGTTTGGCACACTGAGTCTCTCTTGTGATTCTTTACTTGGTAGCTCCTCATTTATTTATGGATTTACATCAAACTATGTAAAATTTCATATTCATAAGCCATTCGTGGCCATGATTTCCTTCTCTCTCTCTCTTTTTTTAAGAGGATCTGATATACATTTCAGTCTAGGCTTGCCTTCAGCTGGCTTCCTATCTCATTAGGATGGTAGAATCTTGGCAAGAGCATGGGACTGGTTACACATAAGAAAGTTACAATTAAATCAATAGGTATATCCTATTTTACGTATGCTTACTACATGTATCTGGGTAAGCCTACAATATGAATTTGGAAAAGCTTCTCAGGTGGTTTACATGTTTAACCTGGTTAATAAAAAAAATAAGCAAAAAAAAAAAAAAGTAAAAACAACCCAGAGTAGTAGAGAGTTATTGTAGTAAATGACTGTCATGACTTGAAAGAAAGCACAAACTTGAAAACTATTTATGTAATTCCAAAAATACTGCCATCAAAAATAACAATATAAGGAACTAGTAAATCCCGATTTTTTTCTCTACTTTTCCTACTCATATTGCTATGTCAAAATAATCTACATAGTAAATGATATTCTGGTATGATAATGTGATCTGAAATACAAGGAAAGCTAGAATTTGCTATTTACTTTTCTTCCTGTCAACTAATGTGGTTTAAGATCTCACAGCAGATGTTGCTGTAGTTTATATTTTAATGAATATAGAGATACAATCTTTACCTTTGACATAGTTTAAGTGCTATAGATCAAAATGAATTGATATTTAAATGCTCTTGGTATTCTAGATAAAAGACTTAAAAATACAGAGTATTTCTCTTTATTTACAGATTCTGTTATAGAACTAGTATATGTCAAACTAAGAAAATTCATACAGCACCAGAATTCCCAATCCCAAGGTAGGAGGAATGAGGGAAAAAAGTAACTTCATCTTTCTTAAAGTACTAGTTGTCCTGGATTTGATTAATTTAATACTTTCATATTTTCAGAGAAAAAAACTGGCTGGCTGGCTAACATTAAGGATAAAATGAAAGAAACTGGACACTTTGTCTATCTATTGTTGCCCCCAGAAATAATGTTTTAAAAAGTTTATATCATCCACAAAGTTTAAAGTAGATGATCCCACAACTCAGATCTGATACCCATGTTGCCTCTATTCCCACAATACATTTATTTTTAATGGATGTGTGATGAAGAGAATTAGAACTGTATCTTCATCCATGTGAGAAAACAGGTAGCACTGAAGACTTACACTTGGATTATATAATTCCATAATTAGATATCCCTTTTATGGGATTATTTGTCTTCCAGATAATACTAAATATAAAGCTAAACACCATTACCATCATGTCTGTACAAACATTAAAATTCCTTCTAAGAGGCCAGCCTCACTCTGATACCAAAACCAGACAAAGACAACTCAAGGGAAGAAAGAAAACTCAGACCAATATCCCTAATGTACAAAGATGCAAAAATACTTAATGAAATCATGGCAAACCATTCAAAAACACATTAAGACAGTATACCATGATCAAGTGGGTTTTATCCCAGGGAAACAAGGTTGGTTCAACATATGCAAATCAATAAACGAAATTCACCACATAGAGTTAAGGCTAGAAATCACATGATTATAGATGCAGAGAAAGCATTTGTCAAAGTCCAGCACCCATTCATGTTTAAGACACGAGAGCAACTAGGGATACAAGAAACTTACTTCGGTATTCTAAAGGCAATATACAACAAAGCCAAGGCCAACATCATACTGAATGTAGAATAACTGAAAGTATTTCCTCTAAAAACAGGAACAAGAAAACAAATGTAGAAGGAAATTTGACCCCCCTCTCTCACACTGCACAAAAGTCACCTCAAAGTAGATCAAAGATTTAGGAATTAGAGTAGAAACCCTGCAACTGCTAGAAGAAAATGTAGGCCAGAAACTTCAACACATTGGCACAGTCACTGACTTCCGTAACAAGACTTCAAAAGTATGAGAAATAAAACCAAGAATCAATAATTGGGATGACATTACATTAAAAAGCTTCTGTACAGTAAACACTTAAGATCTACAGAATGAAAGATCCTTGTTATCTGCTCCTCAGAGGATTAATATCAAGAATATATAAAGAACTGAAAAAACCACCAAAAACAAAACATGAACAATCAAATAAAAAAAAAGACATAGTAAATGGGCAAAGTAACTAATGCTTCTCAAAAAAAGAAATATAAATGAACAACAAATATATGGAAAAACATTCAACATCTCTAACAATCAGCAAAATGCAAATCAAAACTATACTGAAATTTCAACTCACTCTAGTCAGAATGGCAATTATCAAAAAAACAATAATGCTGGCAAGGATGTAGGGAAAAAGGTACACTCATACATTATTGGTGGGACTGCAAATCAGTACCACTCTGGAAAGCAATATGGAGATTCCTCAAATAACTAGAAATAGAAGTATCATTTGACCCAGCTATCCTACTCCTTGGTATATGTCTAAAAGATCTAAAATCAGCATGCTATAGGGATATCGCCACGCCAATGTTCATAGCAGCATAATTCACAATAGCCAAGTTATGGAAACAGCTTGGACACATGTCAACAAATAGATAAATAAATGTATAAATACACAAAGGAGTTTTACTCAGCCATACAGAAGAATGAAACTATGGCATTTGCTGGTAAATGAGTGGAACTAGAGAATATCATGCTAAGTGAAATAAGTCAGACCCAGAAAGTCAAGGGTCAAATGTTTTCTCTCATATGAAGAAGCTACAGCAAAACAAAGGAGATGAAAAAGCGGGGAGGTGGCGGTCAGATATAAAGATACATGGAAAGTCAATGAAGTAGAAGAGAGACTGATGAGGAGAAAGGAGGAGGAAATGTAGAATGAATGTGACAAAATCACACTATATGTATTTATAAATATACCACAGTTAATTTCACTTTATGTCTATAAAACACTAAATTAAAAAATAAACTATAAATAAATAGAAGAAGGACTCGTCGAAGAAAGGCATCAGAGGGAGGGAGAAGGGACAGGAAATGTGAAATCCTTGAGACTGAATTGGAGCAAATTAAATTCCATGCTTTGGCTAATTATGTTAAATTCCAATATTATGCATAATTATAATGCACTAATAAAATTTAAAAAAAATGTCCACTGTTCATGTGAGGAAGGTATATTAAAGTATAATGAGCTTTTTTTTTTCCTAACCACATTTCACTGGTTCTATCACCTCAGCAGATAGGGTCTTTAAAGTCTCTGAGGAAGGAAGTATATGGCTTTTATTTCTTTATAAGAGAGAAACATAGGTTAATCTATAAGAAGAATTCTCTAGAGACAGTAAAAGTTATTTCTTAAAAAAAAAAAAGCTAAGGCAGGAATATGCCCAAAAGACAAACATGCCTAATTCATAAACTCAATAGGTGTAATCTGACACATTTACTGCAGTGTGCTTTAGTCAGTGAGGTTTGGTAACAGTAATATGATCTCAGATTGAATTTTCATCATCTTCCAATTTGGACAACATGCTGGTGAAAATCTTACAAGATATTCATTATGACGAATTCTAGTGACCAGAGATTAGTTTATCATTTATTTTTTCTCTTTCAAGTTGGCTTTTCTTATTTGGAAAAGTTATAAATTTGCTGAATTCAAAAGATGATGAATGTTTATTTGACACTGGGAGATTACATGAAAAAATAATCTTGCAAATGAAGTCAAAATCATGATAAATACGCAAACCAAAGAAAGAAGAAATTTTGATGAAATCCATAGAGCTTAAACTCATTTCACTATATGTGCATATAAATACACAGTGATATATCCCTAAAGTGAAACTGTACCTTACTTAGGAACAGGAATATGCCTTATTCCTCCTTTGTATAGTCTACTATGCTGAACACATGGTAGGTGCTCAAAAATTTGCTTAATTGAATTTAAGACCACATAGCAAATTAATTAGCTACCTTATACTAATCCTTAATTATATACCAACTACTGAAATTCTGTTTATTCTGAGTTAAATATAAAACCATTCATGATAATATAAAGATATTACCTATAAGGATAGCCGTGGTACTTGGAACGAAATATTGAAAGTAGAAAACTGAAGAAGAAGACCACCAGGCCTAATCCCACTAGGCAAATTACTAGAAAAAGAGAGAAAATGTCATTAGAGTCTAAACACATGCAATGACAACCCAAATGTTCATATTTTTAAAATGCATCCAATTTACAGAATACTTACATTTAATAGTTCATGGCACACACAGGTACAACAAACCAGATAATCCACAATACAATGTATTCATTATTTTCCACATTCTTCTCAATGAAAATCTACTATTTGGGGTATGAAAACAACAAAATGGACTTATCTAAGTCTTCTGGTGGTTTTCTTCTTTTAACAGAGTTCCTACAAGTACTAAAATGCCCCAAAGGGATCAAAACAAAACAAAATATAACAAACCACAAACAAGATTATCAGCCCCTGCATTTTGAAGTATTGGTTGTAACAGCAGGAACATTTGCATTATTAGAAATGCTAAATTTTATTCTTCTCAGATGCCATGCAGTATTCACAAAGAAATATAATTTTAAGTTACTGGTTAGATTTTTGCCTCAGTATAAAAGCATGTTACTAAAAAAATAGTTCATTTTAGCCTATATAAAGCTAGAAATAAAAGTTGGGAGAGTAAGAAATAAGGTCTCAGAGCGAAAGGGAGAACCACCCTCCTTCCCAAAGCAGGTAATAATGTCTGGGTATTTCAGTATGTTTTACAGAGAAACAAAAGGCATATGTTATGGTACTACGTGCTGTGGTCCGTTTTTTTCTATATTACTCTGTACCAGAAAAGCTGACAATACTTTCTTATTTTTTTCATTTCCTTTCTATTATGGTTGGGAAGATTTTACTCAAAAGTAAATGATTGATAAAATCTATTATGTTTATTTTGCATGTACATTTTTGATATTTAATTAAAGAAGATTCATTGTTACTAGTAAAATATATCTAAACATGCTTATCAAATTTAAATGCTTAAAAGTCTAAGCCAATTAAATGTAGGTATGTTTAGAATGAAACAAAACAAGTAAATTAAATTCTATCTAAATCTGTTTTATACAATGAGAAATTGTTTTTTCTTAAAATTAGAATTATAGAATTTCTATAAAATCAGAAATTAATGTGTTTTTTTAATACTCAATAAGAAGTATCTAGACATATTTAAGAAAAAAAACACAGGGAATTCTAAAATCTGGTTTTATAAAATATCTGAAATAACTGTCAAAAAAAGGAAGACAGGAGAAAAGAGATTAAAAACACCAAGGAAGAAGAAGAAAGGAAAATTAAATGGACATATATGCTTCTATAACAATGAAATATGATTTTTAAATTTTTTCCTGGCATATAAATGAATCCAGGTTTAATCTCAATCTTGAAAATCAGTGAGTAGATAAGGTACAGCATTGCCGAAATATGGTCTACTCTGCCAGTTTTCATTCAACTCTGCATGAATATCTAAGTTTGGAGTACAAATTATAAAACATAAGCATTTAATTGTATCCAATTGTAGCCTCAGTGACCTCTCATTTTAGACAACACGTGATGCAATTGAACTTGAAATGAATATTAGCAGAAAATAAAATAAAAAAAGGTTCCCAAATACTACAAATGAAAAATGTGCTTTCAAAAAAATCATACAATAGCCAAGTAAGACAGACACCAGACCCTAAGACATAACATATGAAAAACCACATACATCAATCTTACATCAATCTTACTAATCTTAGAATTAATTACACAATGCTTTACTTTATACTTTTCCAAATTAAGATATTTTACCAAACACTTCTTTTCCTTTATGTCCCCTTTTTAATTTTTTCAGAAGAGGGATAAAGCATTCTTTGTTATGCCCTGTTGTTAGCTAGTCTCGTAGGTTGTGCTCAAATGAGTGATGAGGCTCAAAATATGTGATCAAGTAAAACAGTTTATTTACTTAATATTAGGCAGTGGAACAAAATAATGTGACTCAAGTGTTTGTGCATGGGGAAATCAGAAGAACTGAGCATAGTGCAGAATAATAAATGAACCATGACAGATCATGAGATAACAACACACCTGTAAGAAGAAAATGCCATGATGACATGGAAGCATTTTGAACTGGACAATATTAATAATCATAGCAGTTATGCAATATCAAAGTAAGAAATCACATCTGAATCCAAAAGCAGTAATTTAAAAATATACTTTCCAATTCATTCACGTGCACAATGCACTCTCACTTACACACATGTATCCATGTGCACACAAGAATACAAAACTTGGAGGTAACTGGGAGGAGTCATGATAGAAACATCTATCAAGAGGGAATTTGGAAGTAGTGGTTTTATAAACTCTACTGTATCATGCATATTGTGAGATTAAAAACTTTATATATTTCTTATTACTATTACTTACCTTGATATGACAGGACATAAGATAAATATATCATCACATTAAGAGTATGTCCTCATAAGCGTGATTGATCAATCCCAAGAACACGACCTTGTTTATTCAAAAGATACATCATTTTACGATCCTCAACAATGTTTAAAGAAGCAAAGTAATTCCCTCATTTCTCCTGTAGTTTCTTTACAACAGTGTGTAGAATGTATCAAGGGAAAACAGAGGTGAATTTTGACTGTACATTACACATCCAAACATTTCAATACTTAACACTTTCAAGTATTAAAAAAATCGCTGATTCCTATATATATATATATATATATATATATATATATATATATATATATACACATTTATATGTGTTAAAAATCTCAAAGAAAGTACCTAGATTTTTATTTTAAATATCTTAAAAAATTATTAATATTTTTCAGATACCTATGCTTTTAAACAGAAACTCTGGGTCTTAAAAAGTGTTCACAAATACAAAATGTATTGGCAAAAAATTAATTATAGTTTTGTGGAGGTATAATCATAAAATCATGTATGGACTTAATTATAAAAAGGCTTATGGGAGAAAACATTGACTCTAAGGCCTCTTTTCTTTGCTAATCTATGTTTTTCCAGGAAAAATATATTTCCTATGCATTATTTTTTACCTACCAAAATTTGTTACCTTATAAAACTATTTGTTTTTCTACAACCCTCTGAGAAGAATCATTTCATCAAAGGATAAAACAGTTAATTTATTTAAAATCATAAAGCTGGAACTTGATAGAGCTGTATATGTTGGTATATCAATGGAAAAGCAAAGCCCCAGGAAAAGAAAGTAACAGAAGATGACCTCCTTTTAAAAAGGTTGATAAAAGAAGATCTGAAGGAAATTGGAAGGAAAGAATGATATTTAAGTATAAAACCTATGCAGAAGCACCCCTCAATCCAAGTCAGGTTTCTAATGCTCCTTGATTATCCTGGCATAAGGAACATATTATGTGCCAATAAAATCTCTGAAGATGCTACTCAGAAATTCTTTTTCTATCTCTGTAGTCTGGATGCTATTACAAAGACAATGGTTCAGCAGAAATGGATCAAGGCATCCCTGACAAGGGTGATGGCATCTCTCTTTTATATATAATTCCAAAGAGTATCACCCAAATCCCATTTTGGAAGAAATAACATTTTCAAATATATTCACACAAACATCCAAGAAACAAAAAAATCTTAACCTTCAAATTATACTACTTCTTTAGAAGTTTGTTTATAAAGAAATTTTTCTATACTTCCCATTTGCTTTAAAAAAAATCTTCCAGCTAAAAACAAAATTAAAAAAGTACCAATAGAGACTTACTCCGTCTTTTTCCAACATCTCCTTTGGAAGTTGCTGCTTCATTTAGAAGAACCATTCCCATGGTGATAGCAGCATCTGTAGTAGTTGTCAAGGAGACAGTAGAAATAGATGCCAATAAAATCTATAAATTTTTCTGGAACTGAATACAGTGTTCCAGAATGGTTAAATTACAAATGCAAACACAGGTAAATACAACTCATATTTATATTACATAAAATGACCATTATTTATTTATGTCTTAAGTTTTAATACTTATAACTAGAGTTCTTTAATCTGCTAGATTTTGAGAGTTTAATTCTAAATACTCTTTAAATTCAGAACTTTCATAACACTTTAAGAAATTTCAAAACCAGTTCTAACATTTCATGTTGTTATACATAAAATTGTGTTACTTTCTGTTTTAGTCAGCTTTTTTCACAGCTCTGACTAAAGGTTCTAACCAGAACAACTATAGAGTAGGAAAAATTTATTTGAGGGTTCATGGTTTCAGAGGTCTTAGTCCACAGAAGGCAGGCTCCATTCCTTAGGGCCCAACATGGCAGGATAGGGTGGTAGAGGAAAGCAGCTCACACTTTGGTGACCAGGAGGCAGACAGAGAATTCTCCACTTGCCAGATACAAATACATATCCCAAAGAATGCCCCAATTCCTACCTCCTCCATCCACACCCTACTATTCAGTTAATCCCTACCAAGGAATTAATTCACTGATTGGATTAAGACTGTTACAACCCAATCATTTCTCCTCTTTGCATTGTCTCTCACTTGAGCTTTTGGGGAATACCTCACATCTAAACCATACCACTTTAAGGCAGTGACAAAATTCATTGAATTCTTAGAAAATGAGAATGTATTAAAGTTGGCTTTTTTCCTTTTCACAGTGCGTGTCTCTGTGTTTAATTGCTTTTTTATGCTTGAATTTTAAATGTGTTGTTTCAAAGATTTTGTTTAGTTAGATAAATACTTAAGTCAGATATCATTTCACTTAGAAAATTTGAGGATTCAGTAAAAAAAAAACTTACAAAATCAAAAAAGCACATTATAATAAAACAATTTAACAAATTTAGCAGGTCCTACAGCTAGTTAGTTAATTGCCATTTTAAAACTGAAACTGAGAACACAAAATATCTTCTTTACTTTTTGTCTACTTTCAAATCATGGGTTTATTCATGCCATGTTGAAAGATGTAAGGTATTAAGAAAATCATGGGAGCACTTCAACTAAGAACATTCTTCTTCATGTTATTACAACATTTTTGACATTGTCTACTGTTAAGATTTAGAACCCACCAATTCTGGAAATGTATTTATTATGTATTCTGGTTAAAAAAACAAAGGAAAAAAGAAAGTAATTCTAGCCCAGAAATTCCTCCATTTTCTTTGATTTTTTTTCTTATTTCTAGCTATATGTGTACAAATAGTATCAATAAGTCTCTAAGACACAGCAGCAGTAGAGGCAGGATGCCTCTTCCACAATAGCAAAACCTGGAAGGATATCACTGGGTTATATCTATACAATTAAGTAGAGGTCAGAGAAAGTTCTACAGGTAAATGTTTCTACACTGAGTCAGTTTTTATAACCACATTATTGAATTTGATTATTAATAAATTATTTGCATTTGACTCTGTTTTCATGACCGTATTAACCAACTTCTGCATAATAAATACCTGACTCCACAAGTTACGCATTTTTGCTTACAAAGAGCTCTCTATACAGAAGGTTTTCAAACTATTCTATTTATAGTATTGGAACCCTTTCTGGGGGGAAAAAACAAAAACAAAAAAAAACAAGCAAAACTTGTTTGGAAGCTTAGGTATACCAGAGAAAAACACCTGACCAGCACTATGAAGTTCTGCCCTGTCCCCCACCCCACACCCTTCAAATGCTACCACTAAACCTTAAGAGACCATGATACAGTTTTTAAACCACTGAAATTTAGATATTACTGAATTTCAATCATGTTGCAAAGGATATGGTTGATAGAATGACTGTTTTGTAGTACCAGTACAAGTCTGCAGACCTTAAGGACTCATTATTTTATAGTGTTTTGGACGATGTACCTGTATAAATTTTCCTAATCATAGCACATTGTAAATAATGACAGAAAAAAAGAACTAAAGATCTGTATCACTAAACATGTTCATATGTAGAGAATGTCTACTGCTTAACGCAGATGTTTGGTGCAGAAAGATGGGACCAATGTGGATCCTATTACGATTCGCCTTTAATCTTCTTTTTCTCTTTTATATTCTTATATAAATTTGAATACACACATTATAGATATTTGATCTACTGATAATTCATCTAGAATTCTAGAACATTTTAGCCATAACAAACATCTTGGTAAATATTTAAAACATGAATGGCATTAAAAATAAGACCTATTCATTTAATGACTCTAGGTACTTTCCCCAATTCCAATAATAAAATTGGGGGGGGGGGAGGTTGGCATTATTTCTATTACTAGGGAAAATAAAATTTACAAAATTAAATGCTTGACAATTTTAAAAGCAAAAACCATATATTAAGATATCCTCAAGGTTAAATTTTTATACACATAAACATACAGATACTATCTCAGTGAAAATTATATTACTCAAAAGTATATTTTAATGGATAGTAATTGGATGTATCTTCATTCCATTTTTACTATTCTTCCTCTGAATTGTGAGCAATGGCTTCTTATTTAAAATACTTTTTAATTTCATAAAAATTTAAACATTTTTTCATAAGATTGCAATATATTTTATTGCTTTCTCTTATTGATGACATTCAATTTGTTCCCAATGTTTGCTATTACAAATATTCTTACAAAGAAATACTTTTTATAGTTCTCCTAGAGCACATTATTTTTTGTGAAGGGTGTACACCTGGACACAGAATTTTTGAGGTCAGGTATATGTAGTTTCAAATTTGTTAGGCATAATGATAGTTTTTAAAAAATTGGCAATGTAAGAATTTCCATTTTTCTTATATTCAATGAACACAGTACCTTTGTACTATTCATTTTATCAAACAGGTAAGTGGGGAGCTGCATTAATATTCCCCACTTGAGTCTGAGCATCTTTTTATATGCTCATTCTTATTTTTGTGTTCAATCATTTGTACATGCTTGTTTGTTTTCTTTTGCCAACTTTAACAAATCTTATTTTCTCATTAATTTGTAGAATGTCTTTCACTTTTTCTGAACACAAATTGACTGAAGTGCTACATGCAGATTCTACTGCTTTATGGCTTTTCTTTTTAATAATTTTATCAAGCAGAAGACCTAATTTTAACACAGCCAAATTAAGTAACATTTTTCTTTATGAATTTAGTTGTTTCTTGCTTATGAAATTAATTGCTAACCTTATGTCTTAAAAACATCTATGGCCTTTTCATGTACCTTTAACTCAAGTCAGATAATGTTATTCTTACTCTAATAGCTTTTTATCTCACTTTGAATAAAATCTAAAGACCTCAAAATAACCTTGAGTTCATACATGATTTGTACCTCAAATCGATGCCCACACTCGTCTGTCCTTTTTTGGTCTTACTCTTATCTTTACTAGTATTCTAACAAGACTGACATTCCTCTCCCTTAGGATCTTTGAACTTATTATTTCCACTGCTTGAAATGGTTTTCTCCCAGATGTCCTTCTAACTCCCTCCCTTACCTCTATCAGTTCTCTGCTCAAATGATCTTATCAGAGAAGCCTTCTTTGCCCTAATTCCTTTTACTTATTATTATAACATTGTTTTGAAAAAAAAAAACTTTCAGACTGCATCTTTTCTTCTTTACTTTATTGTTATTCTCCTACCACTACAATTTTAGCCCCTACAGAGCAGCAATATTGTTTTGTTTACCATCTTACCCAACACACTTTGATGTTATTATTACCAGTTTATACAAAAGGAAATTCAAGTCCAGAGAAGTCCACATAACCTTCTCAAAGTTACAGAGAGAAAAAGGTGCAAGTCAAAAAAAAAAAAGGATAAAATAAATTACAACAAATGAATCAGGGTTAGATGAAAATGATGATGAGAGTGGATTAAAGGAGCAAAAGTAGCTAGCTTGATTTTCAGCATAAAACATTTTTATGCTAAACATAAAAATCTTTTTTTCATAAAGCATAGAGAATTAAAAACCTCTTTTACTTCTCCAAGATCATTTTCATTTTATAGATTTTCCAAATATGTTTGCAAATTATTCACAAAACTGTTTTCTCAAACACATCTGTCTAGATTATGGTTTACCTTTATATCATTTCTTTACATGTTGCTTTTAAATCAAACTCTCATAATGTACTATTTGTGTTGGAAGCACATGCAGTATTTTTAAATTATGTAAGTGTATATATAAGCAAAATCCCTATTATACTAAGTAAATAAGGCAGGAAGGGAAAGGAATTGTCAAGTCTTAAATATTAAGAGGTTGCAGCATGTCAAAAAACTCAGCAGATCTCAATTATAATTCACTATGTGTCAGGAATAGATGCATATTCCAAGAATATGCCTAGGAACTCCACTCATATAAAGCCATTCTAAGTAAACAAAGCAAACTATAGAATACCAAAAGAATTTTGTGACCCAGGGAACACATCAAGCATCAGGCATGAGACTGCAGTCACCTAGGTCACTCTGACCTGGCAAAGCAGGTTTCTGCCAACTCCCCAATGTTATAAAGATAATAAATACCCCAGTAAAAGCCTTTCCTGCTATGCAGTTCTTTCCCTGAAATGCATAACAAGTGAGCCATGTCCAATCAACAATCTGTGCTATTCCTGCCACTTAATGTAACTATCTCAACCAATGTGTTCTCTTTTTATTTATAAAAACCAGACTCCTCAGGTACCATTTTGAAGAATGTATTCTGGACATTAGTATATGTGTTTTCAGGGTAGCCATCTGCACTTTGCCTCAAAAAGTCTTTGTTTTCACATTTGGTGCAGCTCAACCTGCCTTTAAAATTGACAATATGAAAATGTTTACTTAAGGGTCATTTATACAAGTGAAATATTAAAAACACAAATGTCAACTATAGTGTATGGTACTTATAGGTGGTAGACTAAGTAGTCATATAAAATGAAGCTGATAA